CATTATCAGAGGCAAAGGACACATTTCAGCAAGGCAAAAACACTCAAATATAAAGCAATATGGTAAAGCAATACCAGTGAAAGGTGTGATGTGGGGAGAGGGGTTGTGGCCTGCAAAAAGTCTGGAAGGCAATGTTTGGCCTGAGCCTGAGGTTGCCTAGCCCTGTTCTAACTGTCCCCAACCTGTGTACACACTCAGCTCTTTTTCATTTTTTTAAACAGAAACTCAAAGATTAACACTTTAACCACTTTATTTAGAGGATCATCTTAAGCACCAAGTTTATACTGATACTGAAGTGAAGAAAGGGGCTACAAATCCCACTGGTCTGAGCATACTTAAATCTCTTTTATTTAAATCAATGTGACTTACAATCTGCTCCTATGCATGCTACGGAAGTAAATCAAATTATGCTTAATACTACAAAGTATGCATAATACTGCAATCTTAGGTGCTTAACTTTGGCTAGACCATGCCTAAAAGGAATATTACATAAGTTACACACATTGTAGAACATGGCTAGAGAAACCTCTGAGCCATTTTGGCTAAGCCATACTTACCTGCCAGTCACATGATGTCCTATATGTCAGGTGTGAGCTGATAAAAAGGTAGATGGGCCAAAATGAGTTTTAAAGCCCCATCAATCATCTGCACACCTGGCATCTGAAGCATACCTGCCTTTTCAAAGTGTCATGTCACCCAATGTCATTGTGAAGTCAGGTGATTGGCAGAGGACAGCCCCATCCACCCGTTGCATTAGGCCTGGGGAGCAGGGTTAGAAGACATAAGGATTCAGATCCAGTTCCCTATTGCAGAACATTGGTCTTCAGTTCTTTGTGTTGTAACCCAAAAGTGTTGTAATCCAAAAGTAATCATGCCACCACCATTTATTTTTAGGGCTTAGCTTTAACAGAAAAAGCAGATATGAAGAGACCAAATGTAAAGGAACTCCATTATGTGGAAGAAGGCATTGTGACAGCTACAGCATGTTTCTACTTTATCTTTTAGTGTGTATACTTTCCCAACAAATCAATGCTATACATTAAAAATCCAAAATTTAAAGTAGCAATAAAACCAATTAACACGAAAATAACAGCACTAGATAAAATCCTAAAATCATCCAAAAGCTGACCAAATTACAATAAAAACAAAAAACAACCCAGGGTTTCCCTGAAGATCAGCAGAAATGGAGCCATATGAATTCCCTCAGAGACGGCATTTCAGAAATATGGGGTTTGTACTCAACAACCTGACCATTTTTATCAGTGGACCACAGAGAAGGGCCTCGGATGTCAATCTCAGGTTTCTAGCAGGTACTTATTAATGTAGGCAGTCCTTCTGACAGTCTAGACCCAAAGTCTTTACTATTTTAAACACCATCACCTTAAATTGGGCCCAGAAGTGAACAGGCAGGTAGTGTAACTGGCGCTGTAATAAGATAAGAACGCTTGACTCCTAGAAGTGTTCTTGCTACCACATACGTGGTGCAGTAATTGAAACTACTGTATCATCTTTAAGAGAAGCTCCATGCAGAGTGCATTCAAGTAATCCAACCTGAATGTAACCAACACAAATGACACTGAGGCAAGATCTGCCTCCTCTGGATAAGACAAAACAGCTCAAACTAGTTAAAACACATGGGCCACCAATGTTACATGTGCCTCCACAGATAGCACCAAGTCCAGGAGCACTCCCAAAATGTTCACTTGGCCCCTTAGAGGGAAATACAATGCCAACTGGATGTGCAGTTTTCCCCAACTCACAGCACTTTTGTCTTGTTGTTTAACCTCATCTACCCAAACACTGCCCCCAGGTATCTGTTCAGGATTTCCTTAGGATAAGAATGTGGAAAAGAGAGATGGAGCTGCATGACCTCACTAGTAGTTTCATGTATGTTAAGAAGTATGGGAAATAAAAAAGGACCGTGAAGAATGCCAAAGGCCAATAGGTAGAACGTAAGTCCTCCAGCACCATCTTCTGAACTGTAACCCCCATGCAGGAACAGTGTCCTCAAGTGACATCTGAGACAGACAGCTATGGTCAATGATATAAAAAGCCACTGAGAGGTCCAGAACCAAGGAGATTGTGCTCCCCCCATGCCCATTCTCTAGCACAAGTCATTCACACATGCATTTTCTGTCCTGAACCCAGACCTGTAATCCCTGACCCAAATACTCTATTCTTCCATCCCAACAGAGTTGCTTCCTTTTTATTTACTCCTTAATTTTCCTGGGTGTTTAAAGAAGCATTTTCCTGATCTTTCCATGTAGCTCCTGAGCAAGTGGAAGGGGAGTATTTTACTTGAGAAAAAAATGATTGATGTTCTCCCCCACCTCTTCTTTCTGATTATATGGTTTGGAGAGATTAAGTTTTTCCCCCAGCTGCTTAAGGAAAAAATAGTAAGCTTCTGCCAAACTTATGCATGGGTGGGGGGCATACTAAAGTTGGAGAGAAATAAGTATTCAGATCAGTGCTGTATTAGTTTGTTGTATGTTTTAAAAACCTCTATATATTTGAGATCAACCAATCAAATCCAATGAGGCTAACTTCTGGGCAGAACAGGCCTGCAAATTTTAACATTAGTGAAAATTGAAGCAGGGCAGTCTTTATTTTGGATCACTCAATCTGGAATGCTTTTGTCTCTAGCATTTCCAAAGGAATGTTGCAGGAAATAGAAAGGTTTCCCATCCTGTGTTAAACCATGGTTTAGAAAAACATGCACAAAAAGAAGCAAACCTTGGGCTCCCACTCCCCTTCTTCCATTTTCTCCTCCTACACAGATGGAATAGAAAGACTATGGAAACTTATTTCCTGTTTCCTATAAATATGACTTCTTATTTTGCCTGAACTGGAAATAATTATTCTTATTTAAACTGACTGTTTAGCACTGTTGGTGTTAAACTATGATCTACCATTTAGACAAAATGTAAAGTTATAGTTAAAAGAAACTAAAAGAAAAAGCTTCCAAAATTCTCCTGGCCATGTGGGTGAAAATAGGGGAGCACTCAAGCCTGAGGTTCACTGTGGCTCTTGTGTTGAGGAAAAACTTTGTTTAGTGTGATGTCTAAATATGTCCTAGAAAGTCCAAATAAAATGATTCCATATTGCAGGTTGGGGTTAAAGATGGGTGTTGAATCTGATGAAAACTATTGCTGTAGAACACCTGCATGTCAAAAAAGCAACATCTGAACATGTACAGTATTTCGGTCTCAAGCCATGGTCTAAGGCACATATTGCAGCAACTGCACTAAAAACATGTCTGAGTATAGCTGGCGTCTCATGAATACCCTGGAAACCCTTGAGTTCGTAACAGAAAAACAGGATATTATATATTTGATTCATACTAGAAACTTAATAATAAAATACTCAACAGTGCACATTCAGCCATGTAGATTTACAAACACACAGTACTTCAGCACTAATTGTAATAACTTGTAGAGTTGTTAACATTTTGAGAGAGTTCAGCTGCATAAGACTTAGAGCAGACACTGTCACATCACCTCAACACTGAAGTATTGTAAGCCTCTATTATGCAGGACCTTCCTTGTTCTGATCGAGTTTCTGAAGAGTCCCATTACCGTCCTATTGCATAACACTATCTTTTTTATTATTAGCATTCGTTAAGGCTACATCATATGCCCACTTACTTGGAAGCAAGTCACATCAGATTCAGTGCGACTTAACTTTCAACCAAGCATACAACAGAATCCAGCTGCAAACAATATTATTTCAGATACGTGGTGGAATACGCGGTATTCTGGTAGGAAGGTATGATCAACCGTCGCAGGCCTTCCATTCCCTTTGCAGCAATAGAGAAAAGCAATGTTGTGCAGTATTTTGGGCAAAAAGAGGGAGGGTGGTAGGACGAAGCTGGGGGGGGCGGGGGAGAGAGAGAATGACAGGCTGCAGAGTCACAGTAGGTCATCCCAAAGTGAGAGTGCCTCTTCCTTCTTCCTCTACCCCCTTTCCAAGAACGAAGGTAAACAGCAATCAAAATGTAACTAATATTCTCCTCCCCCTTTGGATCGAGAGGCAGGGGGCCGCCCTGCCGGGACTGCTTCCCAGGGCGCTGACGGCTCTGCCAATCCACTCAGCGCTGCTAACAGGGTTCAAGGCTCAAGCTGGCCCATCTCCCACGGCCTGCCTTACCCCGCCCCTGCCGCCAGTTAAAGATCCATGAAATGAATAAACAAGGTGACACCAGGGCAAGAGTGGCAAAGGGGTTGGAAGGGAGAGGCAGGCGAAGCAAGAAGACACGGGGCACCCTTCGCCCTCCGCTCCCGGAACCAGCAGGAGGGCCCAGCAGAGAGAGAGAAGGGGTGGGTGAGTGGGTGCGGGGGGGGGGAGAGACTCGCAGTTTCGCACCCTTTCCTCCCACCCCCTCCCCCAAAGGGGCGAGAAATGCAGGGCCCCCACGACGCTTCTCTCCCTCAGGAGTCTCCGTCAGGCCACCGCCGCCAGGAACCGACCGAGAAGAGCTGGCCTTGGCTGCGCAGCCTGTTTATTTGTCAGTCAGTCCAGTCAAGCTGGCTGCTTTTCGGTGCCTGCCTTACCGTGGCTCTGAGCCCAGCTGCGTTGTGGTGCCGCCGCCGCCTCGCTGTGGCGGAGGGTTGTCCTTCCCCCTCCACGCCAGCCGCCGCCGCCTCAGCCCTCGGCACCGCTCCCAAACGCCGCTGCCACTAACGCCGCTGCCGCCACAGCGCAACAAAATGATGCCATCTCACAGCAGCGGCATTGGAGGCTCTCCTCCTCCTGGCTCACAGAAAAAAGAGACACACAGAGGGACAGAGAGAGGCAGAGATGGCGCGCGCGCGCCCCGTCTCCCGCCTGCCACTGGCGGCGCGCGCCCCAACCGTCGAGGTGGAGAGAGGGAGGGAGGGAGGAGGAGGATCCGGCGCGAGGCAACCCAAACGCGACTGAAGCGGCGAAAGGAGAAGGGGGGCGGGGCGGGGCCGCCCTGCGCACGCGCACACATGGCGCTTCAAGCCCTACTACGCAAAAGGAGCTGAGGAGATGGAACTTGTCGGAGCAAAGAGCAGCAGTTTGATTTACAGTAGTACCGCTCTCCGCCGGCGAGCGGAGGTCCCGGGCTGAACCACTGGCTGAGAAAAGTAAGGGGGTGGGGAACTGAGGAAGAATGTCTTCAAAGAGGCGCGCCGTTTGGCCCGGGCTGAACCAAGTGGGAGAGAAAACGAGACGGGTGGGAGGGGGAGTATTATACCGAATTAACTGGAAAAGCTGGCCGAGTGGGGGCGTTTTTAGAGTTGCTCAAGAGGACACGACTGAGTTTTTATTTAAAAATAAAAACAAAAACAAAAGATTACTATATTTATGCAGTTTTGTGCGTATATATAAGCTTCTAGGGCTCGATAGGAAGAGCTGAGCCTGTTCAACAAGCCTCTCTGTGCCATGAATGGAGTAACCTGAGCAGGTTTGTGGCTTGTCAGCCGATGAGGCAAAACTGATGGAATGTCGAAGGTTTCAACCCCAAGGCCAGCCCAAGACATTTCAGCACCTGAGGCGAGCCACAAAATGGTGCCACCTCCTCCCTACTAAGGAAAAAGGGGTAGAAGTGAAGATCTGCATCAGGAACCAAGGGGGTTGTAAATATATACAGCAGGATTGTGGGTCCTGCCGCCTGAGGCAGTTGCCACACCTTCCCTCATGGGTGGGCCGGCCTTGTTCATGCCTATGTTCACTTACCTGGGAGTGAGCCCCAATAAACACAGTGGGACCCCACTTCTGAAGAAAACATGCATAGCATCACCCTGTAAAGCAACTAAAGGCTGCAATGTTGAACATACTAAGGCATCATCCAACTTGGGGGCCTGCACAAGGCCTGCCCCAAGACAATTTGCTGCCCGAGGCAGGAGTTGGCTGGAAGGGTAGCTGGATCTTACTTCAGCACTGGCAAAGGGACAGTGACTTCCATCACACCTGAGAGCAGCAGTCTGGCTTAGCAGGCATGGTGTATGACTCATAGAGGATTGTCATATTTCAAAAGGTTAAAATTCAGATACATTTCCTGGCTATGTCCAGAAAATTCCGAACGTATGGCAACCCTAGACTCATACAGCTCTCCAGTATGGCACCACCAACACTTATTTGTTTACAGTACTACATGCACCTTTGGCTGTTTGGATATATGAGTGTGTATAGCAAGGTTGGGGTACTAATTCATTGTGTTTGGATAAGTGATTTTTTGCATAACAAGCATTTGGATAGCACGGCCTGTGTGTATTTCCAGAACTCTGAACAACACAACAACACACAGGAAAAATATAGCATATTAAGTTCTCTGAAAAGTAGTTTTCAACAAATATATATACTGTATATGAAGCATAAGAAAATTGCATGAAAAAACTTCCTGTCCTCACTAACATTTTTCAGAGGGCAGAAATTTATATGTTAACCTTAGCCCAACTTTTTTAAGTTAAAAGAAATTACATAAGGCACACACAAGAATCATATTCCAGTGACGGTGTGACATGCAGCAATTGCATATCCTAGCATGCAATACTTCAAGTTATCAGGATCAAATTAAAACTCCATATACTATTGGACCCATCATCTCAGCAGGGTATACCTTTTCATTATGCTGGAAGGAAATGTAATATGCTTCATGCAGGATTCTTACTTTTTAAATTGACCTCAAGGTTCTAGAAAGGTTATATGCCAAGCCATAAATCAAAACATATTTAATATCTCTGCAAAGGTTTTTCATCCAAGTGGATTCGAATACTGAAAAGAACATGAGCGAGCAAGATATTGAAAGTAGAATAGTGTCCATTCAATACATCACTTTTAGGGAAGGCTATTTTGAACTTTTTAAAGACAAGCTATCCTTTAGTGTGTGAGAGAATAACATTCTGTACTCTCTTCAAAAGCTTGGAAGGTTTTGCCGCAGCACTTTTCTTTTAACAGATTAAGCATTTACAAGGATTAACATGAAATGCTTTTGCAATAGGTAGTTATTAAGCAACTGTTTGAGGTATAAACAACCAAGAGCCCAATTCAAATTCTCACTCAGCCATGAAGCCCACAGGGGTGAATTTGGGCCAGGGATGGGTGAGCTTGGGCCAGTCAGCCTAACTCCAGGACAGTTGTGCAGATAAAATGGAGAAGGGGAGAATGGCATATGCCATTGCCTTGTAAGTAAGGCGGGATATAAATATAGTAAATAAGTAAGACAAGGTAACAATTGTCTTGCAGTATAATTTTTGTGGACTAGATTTCACTTCATCACAGGCATGGTGCCTCTTCAGCTGCCAGGGGCATATGTGCATGTATGCATATACCCAAAAGAAAAGAATAGAAGTTAGTAGCAGTAGTAATACCCTACAAGTTTCAGATAAGCCACTACTACAGTCTTTCGCGACTGGACTTAACTGTCAGGGGTCCTTTACCTTTATCTTTTACTCTTTTCATTTCATGATCTTTTGACCCCACTGTTTACACCAGAGTAGGGCTGCAAGCTATATCAGTTGGATGAATCAATTAAAAAGGTGCCTCTGATTAAAATATTTCTTGAACTAGATTTCCAGAGGGGCAGCCTGCTATTTTGTTGCAGCAAAAACAACAAAGAGACTTGTGGCACTTAAAAGATATAACACATTTATTATGGCATAACTGCAGTTCATGTCATCTGATAAGGCAGATTAAGGTCCTTTCCCTTTCTTAGAATCGTGGATCACCTGATCCATGCTTAAAGCAAACCAACCAAAACTATGTCAGGCATGTTAACAAATGCATCTTTAGACTACATTTTTCCAATTAATGAGAAAAGAGAAATGATGGAAAAGCACCTAGTCATGTCATACACATACTCAGCCTTTTGACCAATTAATCTTCAAACAGCATACAAACAAATTTTAAAACAGCAACAAGATAAAATGCAAATAATTAAAGCAAGCAGGTATTTTTAAAAAGGAGAAAGAAAACAAGCACAATAGCAGCACAATAAGTGGCATGCATTTATGGTTTTAAATTGATCATATACACTGTCCCAAAGGCTAAACAGTATTCAAATTAATGTTCTGTTTTCCTTGCACATTGTCGTCCTGATCTATATCTAATAATATTTTGATGCATGTGTGATTATGCTCCTATGGGATGAGCATACTCAGGCATATCAGTCTAGTTCAATAGAACTAGATGACCATTCTGATGCACATCTGTATCAGCTGCACATACAGCCCTACTATGTTGGGGTAGGACTAAATAAGAGTAAAGTACTGCCATATTCCCAAGTTTACCTTAATTAACATGCAAAGAGCTGTGGTTTCATTTAGCAACTCAGCTCTTCCATGCTGATCTAGTTTCTGTTTACTGTCTCTTGTTTAGGAAACAGCAAAAAATACTTACCTGCTTTGTAAGCAACTTAGATCAACATGTCTACCAATAGCTATGGCTTAACACTGTTGCAATTTGCAGATTTGCCTTTTCCAACATGCCCCCAAATATTCTTTCTGTTTCTGCCACAACCAACCACCACCACTTCTTTCTTTTTTTCTTTTGGCAGAAGACCCAGCCTGGAGAAGAGAATTCTGGTGAGCTCAACAGCTTTCTCACTACATTATATCATAGGCACCTACACAACACCAAAAAAGAGGGAGCAAATTTGCACAAAATGTGCCTGTGCCAATGTATAGATATAAAATTTGAAAGAATATAATTTAAATGCATCTCTCCATCATGGGGAAAACTGAGCCAGGGATGCCTGGGACTGCTCAGTCTGCTGTCCTGTTGCTGACTACTAAGGGGCAACTTCAAAGCCCCTGCTTGCCCTTGGTTCTTAATTTTTAAACCAGGCTTAGACCAAACAGTCCTTTGTAGAGGCCAGTCCTCCGTACAGTCCCCCTCCTTCTTTATGGTGTTTTCCAATTAGTCCTCATGCTATTCTAGTGTTGCCTTTGGATCCCCACTCCTGCCCCCATAAACCAACATAGTTACCTTCAACTTCTAGTTTTGTAAGGTGAACAAGAAGAAAGATCGGTGGATAAAAAACTTAAGATTCTCACATGACAGAGAGGTAGATCAGCCCTGGTATTTCCAGTCCTCTCCTGCTACAGAATTACTGTTGTCAGTTCTCTTTACCTTGTCAGTCTTTCTCTGCCCGGCATCAGATTTACATAGAAATAAGATCCTGTTTTGTCCAAAAGTATTTTCTAGAAAATAAATGCCTTAATAAATGCCTAGAGATGTTTTTGATTCTATTGGCCATAGTAAAATTATCTCATCCCTCTACCCTGAATTGGCCATTGTTTGCTTATACTACAACAGAACAGAACAGAATGAGAGCTCAGTTATCCTGAATGAAATATTTAGCCTCTCCCTATCCACACAGCTCCAGCATGAAGTTGTTTTGTATACAGAATTTTGCCTTGTGAACTACTTTGCCCATAAGGTGAGGCATCAATGCAAACAATAATGATTAATAATGCTGTTCAGAGGGTACATAACCGGAAGATCACATACCAAGTGACTTTGAGCTATTCACTGTCTCTCAGATGTACATAGAAGACTTGAACCTGGGACTAATTCAGAGTCAGGGCAAATAATGGAACACTGGTGCAATATGCTTTCAGCAACCTGCCCCTTACAAAAGGGAGACTATGTGCCTCTGAATATGCTCCTGTAAATGTCAGTCCTCTGAGGCTATTATCTAATACCCCAACATTTGCAAGCCCTCAAGTAATTCTGATTTGATAATGTACTCTAATGGCACAAATTCCAGCATGGGGCAACTGGCAGCATCACAAAAAGCCTGGATAGTTCAGTTGATTAGCGCATCATGCTGATAATGCCGAAGTTGCAGGTTTGATCCCCATATGGGACAACTGCATTGCAGGGGGTTGGACTAAAATCAAAATAAAATCAAATTGCCATCACAGTATAAAACATTTCAGGTCACTGGGATAATTAAAAGGACAAGGGTGAAGCTGTCAAGGGTCATCAGGTCACACTGTGATTGTGTGCACTTAGATATTCTGCTTTGCCCTGTCCCCCAAAAGGATGGCTCGTTGGAAACCCTTTCGGGTAAAATTGTGGCTAAAAAGGAAGCTACTAAAACAGTGATATCTTTGTCCTGATCTGCCAGGAGAAACCTCATTTGTCTTCTTGGTGTTATAGGCCGGAGGTCCAACATTTTGCTCAGCATCAGTTGGCGAGGTCTACTGTGTAGAGAGCATTCTAAGAGAATGTGGTCCATTGAATCAGGTACTACTTGGTTGCAGGCACACAGACGGGCTTGATATGGGGTATGAGAGAATCTACCTTTGGTCACTGCAGAGAGGAAGGCATTTAATCTTGTGAGCATAAAGGCTCTTCAATGGGAAGGGAGTAGTAGATCCTTTACATATTTGGCACAGGTTCCGTAGGGTTTTGCAATACCTAAGACCTCCAGAGAACAGGATCTCGGAGTATGAGGTAACAAGCGCTGTCTTTTGTAGTCGTAGAGCTACTGCTTGGTTATTTGGAATATGTAACTTTCGTCACATTGGACTAGATGATCCACAGGGTCCCTTCCAACTCTACAATTCTATGATTTACAATTTTTTATTGCATCAAACAAAGATTCATCCTTGCTCTAACATTACAAACTGGGAAAGGAGAATCCATACTAAATAGATAAATTGTGGTTTTTAAAGTCTAGTCCGACTTGTGGCTGAAACAAAATGAATGCAATTGGCAGCTCTTTAGAGAAACAGTGGAAGTCCAGTCAGCATGCTCTACTCCCTACATCTGATCAGAGCCTAGTAAAACTCAAAATCAGTTTCTCTTTACTGTATGTTAGAAATACCTAGTATGGAGAAAGTGCCGTTCAGAAGATTGCAAAATGTCTTGTGCAACTGAACAACATGACAAAGTTAAGTACTTTTAGGTCCATTGATTTCAATGGAAAACAGTTATGCATATCCTTAACTATCCCAGTGGAAATCAATGAAATGCAAAAGTGCTCAATTTTGGCTACACCATGAGCTGAGCACTGATTTCTCAATGGTCTATCATGTTACTGAGGATGTTCAGTTTTCAGCCCAGTCTTAAGATTTTTAAAAGGTTAGATTTATGGCCAAGTGCCTCCCTGGGCATTCAGCCATATTACCCCTGCCTACAATAAGCAATAAATCATAGACAAATGTAGCTACAGTGGTAATGTTCTTTTATAGAACATTTTGATCAGCAGTATCGTTCACAGACTTGAGTGATCTAGCTGTCATATAGAATGCTTAAGAAGTTTCATAGTTTTAATTTTAATACAAACATGTAAAATATACATAGTAAATTAATAGCAAAAGAAAATGCTTGAAGCAGTGCCATGGACATGTTTTGATCCCAAAATAATTGTTCCCCAAACTTTGGTAGGCCTCTGCAGCTACTTTTCAACATTGTCTTTTCAGTTTTCACTTTCTGTAAAATTTCATCTCTGCTGCAGATTTTAACTTGCCATTATCCAACTTCAAGACATACGTTGGCCTGATCAAGCTATTATTATTACAAGACATTTCTATCCATGAGTGTTTCCATATAGGAAGCTACTGACTTCATAACATCTGTTCTATAGTATTGTGACGACTCTGATATGTAGTAGATGAATATTGTCTCCACTCCTGCTCTGTGTTTCTCCTTTCTTTTCCCCACCCCTCTTATTGGGATTCTTTTACTAGGTCTCAGCTAGTGGATCATCTATGGGTCTCATCTATGGGTCATCACCCATAGATTAAATTACTTGTGGCAGGCAGTGTCACAGAATCAATGGTGCTTCTAGGGCTAGCTGGCATGTGACCCTTAGAGGGCCACCCCCAATGAACTCCACTACCAGCATCACAGAGGTTCCCCACCCCTGGCCAGAGACGATTCAGTAAATGTGCTGGCCAATGGGTGGGTTGGGGAGCACAACTGTGTGTGTTGGCTTTAAACGATGAAACTTTCCAGCAGATGCTGGCTCACATGGCCACACACACAAAACCCCCTTGAGATTATCATGGTTTGCACATGCAGTTCTAATTTTCTAACATGGTCCCCTTGGCAGGGTGGATATATCATTATCTATCCTTCAGAAGACATCCCTGAGTTCTGCTGTATAGAGCAGCAGCTCTCTGTAAGTGTATAAATAGGGACAGTTTGAAACTGTACATCTCAATTTGTTGAGGCTGTCATTATAACTGCACCTTTCAGTTGCTCGTTCTAAGAGTGTCAGTTCTCTAATAAGCTCTTCTGCAGCAGGACTCCTTGTTTCTGCTTGAATCTGTGTCACTGTATGTCTGTTTGTATAAAGATTGGGAGGCTTGGGTCAGGAGCTTTATGCTCTCTAACCTACAGTTTCAACTAGCAGCAGCCAAATTGCAGCTGGCAATTTCTAACCACACATTAATCTGATGCCCCAGGTCAAATTTTGCTTTGGTCCAGATGATAAAATGTCCCTTCTGTGTGCCCTCTCTTTTGCTGCTGTTATGATGAAAGACCTATATGGAGAAGGAATAAAGGAACCAACACAGTCACATCTGCACCATACATTTAAAGCTCACGGCTTCCCTCCTCCAAAGAATCCTGGGAACCCTCACAGAGCAATAATTTCCAGCACCCTTAACAAACTACAGCTCCCAGGATTCCTTGGGAGAAGCCAGGTGCTTTAAATGTTTAGTGTGGATGTAGCCCAGGAGTTCCTGCTCAAAAAGCCTTGTTTTCATTCAGTACTTGTTTCCCTGTAGTCTTTTTAAGTGGTAGCAAGATGCCAATTAAGTGGTAGAATGTACATTTAAAATTGAATTGGGGTAGACAGGACTTTTCTTAATATGCACAGGAGGGGAGAAGTGTAAACTTGCATCTACAACATATAGCTTGCACCAAATTTGTCCAAGGCAGTAGCTGTGCTAATCAAATATTTTTAAATCTGCTAAATAGCACAGCTTGCCACTTAGAACTTGTAATTTTCAAGCATACAAAACAGAGAGCAGAATAAACTAAAGGGGATTTGTTGCCTGCTGATGTCACAGTAGCCTTTAAAGGCGCACTGAGAGAGGCTTTTCCTTACTGCTTCTGGAAAGTAGGATGTCATAGTCTTAGGATTTTCTTCCAGGTAAAGGAGTCACAGGTTGCTCAAGCAGAGTCTAGTACCCTCTCCCTCTCAGCTTTCTAATGATAAGTGCTGCCAGCAGAAGGAGAAGAAATGAAAACACAGACTCACAGATATCTGGAATATTGTTACAGTGGTATAAATTTCTCGTACCTAAGAAAACCCCAAACCCCATTGAAATTTATGTTAAGGACATAAAAAGAGGCTCCTTGGATCAAAGGCCCATCAATTCCAGCATCCTTTTCTCATAGTGACCTACCACATGCCTGTGGGAAGCCTGCAGTACATAAATGTAGTTGAGAAAATGTTAGGATGCTTAAGTTTTTGCTTTGTCGACTGCAGTCCTATACACACTTACCTGGGAATAGGTCTTGTTGACCTCAGTGGGGATCATTTCTAAGTAGACATGCATAGGCTTGTGCTGTCAGTAACTGTACAGATTGTCAAGATCTGGTTTTACCTCTTCTATGGCATCAAAAATACATTGATTCAAATTATGTCTCGCAAGAGCAATGCCTTTCATCAGCATCTTTTTTTCCTTTTGATTTTTGGCAAAATCCACTCACTTCAGTAGTTATTTGAAATGGGAGACAATTAGGGAACAAGAGGACTGCCACAAGCTAGGTTTCATGTTATGTTTTTCGAAGAAGGGTGTCTTCACTGATGATTACATTTGTTTTATTACACCAAAAAAGTACAGTACACCCAAAGAGGAAGTGTGCCGAGCCTGCAGATCAACAAAAAACAGGAGAAGGAAAATGCTGAAGTGTGGAATACTAAAATGACTAGTCATTTCCTGCTTTATGCAACCCCCAGAATTTTCATATAGGAAACATTATAGTCTTATCTACAGATACGTGCTTGGAAGGTAGAAACCTGGAAGGTCAAAAAGTTACAAAATGGCTCAGTGACTTGAACTCACTTTCATTCAACCGAGCATGTGCTCACAACTATGAATCTTTTTCACCAAATACAGTTTTAGAGTTTTCCCAAAGATGTTTCAGTATTTGTCTTTGGAATATTACTACAAACTTTAGGGGTGAGGAGGAGGAGGAGGAGGGAATGGAGAGAAAGGGGGACAGAGAAAGTTTCAGCTGATGGCGCTCTGCTAATAAAGCATTTGGGGCATGATCAAGATAAAGGTAAGCAATAACCAACAACAGCACAAGCATAGCAACAACAATAAATTTTATATATGCCAAATTATTATTATTATTATTAATTAATGCAAAATTATTCTTATAAGCAGCTTACAAAACACTAAAAAGTTTCATCACAAATGATAAACATCCAAAATAAACACAATAAAACAATCCCATTAATACATTAAAATTTAAACATCCATAAAACATAGAAGTACCTTTTAAGCCATCTTGATTTTAATATGGGAGAGCTAAGCACATACTTTTGTTCTTTTGTCAGGATCATGCTTCATATTTTTGGAAATATGCTATTTAATTGGGATTTGACATACAATTCACTATTAATTATACTAGAATCAGTACCCTTCATGACTCAACCCTGGGAGGTCATTTGCCTAGTGCACCTTCATGACCCAGATTTCAGTTACATGCAAATTATTTTCTTTTTAGCCTACTTTATGCTGTGCTTTTACTCTTTTCTGCATGGTGCACCTTATTTCAAAAATTTCACATCCACTGATGTGCCAAGTCATTTAAGCTGCCTAACTGCGAACAAATTTAATAAGCAAACACCACTTTTTCATTTACCCATCTAAATTCATTTAAATTCATGCACATTTTAAGTGGGTTCCTTTGCCTAAAAATAGCTGATAGTTGGTAAAAAGCAGACCTGCTTTTCTGAAATGGAGATGAAGTGACAGCCTCACCTGAAGAATGTGCTAAATGTGGGTATCACTTAGAGATCTAATTTCATGATACCAAAACAAAACTTTGCCCCCAAGGCTTGGGGAACTTGAAAACAGTTGCCAGCATCTATTGATGATGAGCAGGTTTTTTCCTCCCTGACTGCACCTGGCTGGACTGATTGATTTGGCTTTCAGTGCCAAAAGGGAAAGAGGTCAGCTGCTTCAACAATGCTGTGTACAAAGTGTACTGTGTGCAGCTGTGTATACAAAACTGTGTGCAATTCTTTCTTTTTTGCAGGGGGGTCAGTTCCTGCCCATGCAGTATCACAATGTTGCATGAAGACAATTCTTCCTGTAGTGCATCTGCACTATAAAGGTAAAGGGTAAAGGGAACCCTGACCATTAGGTCCAGTCGTGGACGACTCTGGGGTTGCGGCGCTTCATTGGCTGAGGGAGCCAGCGTACAGCTTCCGGGTCATGTGGCCAGAATGACTAAGCCGCTTCTGGTGAAACTAGAGCAGCACACGGAAACACCGTTTACCTTCCCGCCAGAGCGGTACCTATTTAACTACTTGCACTTTGACATGCTTTCGAACTGCTAGGTTGGCAGGAGCAGGGACCAAGCAACGGGAGCTCACCCCATCGTGGGGATTCCAACCACCGACCTTCTGATCGGCAAGTCCTAGGCTCTGTGTTTTAACCCACAGTGCCGCATCCCATCTGCACTATATCAGGGTCCTAAACAGATTAACCTAAAAGCAACTCCCAAATTTAAAAGAGTATGAGGTGCAAGTGTGTGTTAGCCTTCACCAATCGTACATTTTGGATGCTTGGGGCTAATAATTTATAATTTTTTTTATTTTTTACCCCACCCATCTGACTGGGTTGCCCCAGCCACTCTGGGCAGCTTCCCAAAATAATATACGGAAACACAACAACAATAACACAACAGAACATCACATCACACATTAAAAGCGTCCGGATTTAAGGCTGCCTTCGGATGTCTACGGACGGTAGTATAATTATTTATCTCTTTGACATCTGACAGGAGGGGGTTCCACAGGGTGGGTGTGGCTACTGAGAAGGCCCTCTGCCTGTAACTTCACTTCTCACAATGAGGGAACTGCCAGAAGGCCCTTGGAGCTAGATCTCAATGTCTGGGCTGAACAACGGGGGTGGAGATGCTCCTTCAGGTATACAGGGCTGAAGCCATTTAGGGCTTTAAATGGCAAAGCCGACACTTTGAATTGTGCTTGGAAACGTACTGGTAGCCAATGTAGGTCTTTTAGAACTGGTGTTACGTGGTTCTGGCAGTGGCTCCCAGTCACCAGTCTAGCAGCCACTTTCTGGATTAATTGTAGTTGTTTCCAAGTCTCCTCCAAAGGTAGCCCCGTGTAGAGCGCATTGCAGTAGTCCAAGCGGGAGATAACTATGTACCACTGGTGCAGCAGTGGCTATAACAACAAGAAATCGCATTGGTTTTACATCCACACTGAGGATCATAGTTTGTTCTGCCCTCACAGGCCACAATCACTACCCAGCCTGAAACCATGTTTGTTGCTGGATTGCCAATGTGTTAATGACTTTGGGCTGTGCTATGGCAAAAAGCTAAGCTCTATGGGGGAGAAGGGAAGCAGGATTGATCAGGCTGCATACTCTAGCGTACAGCTTGTGCACAGTGTGATTTATTAACCCAGTGTGCAAACATATCCACTGCTAGCTAGTTATTTGTCCCTCTATATTGGTGAAAGCCACAGATTCAAAGGTTAAAGGTTAAACCTGCTAGCTAGTTATTTGTCCCTCTATATTGGTGAAAGCCACAGATTCAAAGGTTAAAGGTTAAACCACCAGCATTCCACATTCAGACAGTTTTCTTTATATTTTGGGCTGTCCAAGCCATCTCTGGTTCCATAGAAAGCTGTAGGTATTAGCCAACTCCTTGACCCTCACTTGACCATTGCATCAATTGGATGTGATGAACTTAGAAAAAGAAGTAGTGAAACTCTGAGCTCGTACAGTTTAGGCAACTGTGGGGCCTTAGATTTCTTTCCAAGTGTGAATCATGAAACTAAGAAGAATTGGAACTGTAAGATTGCTATCTGGAAGGACAATGATGAGGTCCAGCATGAGGTGAATCGGAGGAATATTACTAGTTGTCCACAGGGTTACAAAGAATTGACTGGTGTCCTCTAGAAATCAGGCATGTAGTGTCACCAGTCCTCTTCTGTGGAACACTCATCCAGCAGGCACTCTCATTTTTTACTTTCTGGCCTTTTGTATGTAGACATGCCTATATAGCTTTTCTTTCCTTTTTACTGTTTTTATGGTGTTTTATATTTTATTGTATATACTGTTGCACACCAGCATGTTGCATTGTATGGACTGGTGGTATATGAATATTTCTATATATAAATTATATTGGAGACAACAGCAGCAGAAAGACAAGAGTGGAGTAACACCTAAGATGCCCTTTCCTAACATCATTTCCAACTAACTAACTTCCCAGCGTTCCACCAGAACCTAACAGATGTTTCAGATACGGTGAATCATTTTTCATCATGTGAGAAGAGGAGGGGTACACTAGAGCTGTTCATCTCTACAACAGAGTACTGGTTATGGGTGTGGGTGGGTGTGTACACAGTTCAACAATTGGCTTTAATTAAGCATACATAGAAGAAATAAACTAGCCAGGCAAACTGTGGCAAAAGCAACATAAGAAATAAGAAAAGCATGAAGCTAGAGCTCTGAGCTGCAAATACCTCTCTTCTCATACAACCCCCACACACTTCTATTGGGTTATATCCAACTGGTGTCCCTCCAATAACGGCAAAGGGCTAGCTCAGGGGGGCTGCATGAGCAGCTCCCCCCCAAAAAATGTTCCCGGGGCGATTGCCCTGGCAGAACGCCCCCCCCCCATGCTACATCCTTGCCATCACCTCCCTTTTATCACTTTTTCACACTTTCCCCAGGCCCTGCAGGGATATGGGCATCAGAAGGCACCCAACAGTGCTCTGATGCTGGCTATGGCTCCATCTACACTACAGTGGTAAAGGTAAAGGGACCCCTGACCAGTAGGTCCAGTCGTGACCAACTCTGGGGTTGCGGCGCTCATCTCGCTTTATTGGCCGAGGGAGCCGGCGTCCAGCTTCCGGATCATGTGGCCAGCATGACTAAGCCGCTTCTGGTGAACCAGAGCAGTGCACGGAAATGCCGTTTACCTTCCCGCCGGAGCGATACCTATTTATCTACTTGCACTTTGACGTGCTTTTCGAACTGCTAGGTTGGCAGGAGCAGGGACCGAGCAACGGGAGCTCACCCCGTCACGGGGATTCGAACCACCAGCCTTCTGATCGGCAAGTTCTAGGCTCTGTGATTTAACCCACAGCGCCACCCGCATCCCCACACTACAGTGTTATGTAATGGTAAAGCAAGTGTCAAGGAGATGTATTTTATACATTGCAAAATTATTATTTTTTAAAGCCTGGAGCGTTGCAAGCAAGCTGATGGATTCGCTATCAATTCAGAATGTTACCACATATTTTCTTTGTGTACTCTATTTGGATTCCAATCAGGCAGATTTGTTTGCTGCAGGTGGAAGGATTCTGTTGCAAGGATATTGTGATCTTGTCGTTGCTTCCCCTCAAAATGTTCTTCAACTTTGCAAGAAAGGTGCTTGCACAGTAGTCTGATTTTTCCAATGTTTTGGTCTCCTGAAAAACACAGTTTGAATAATACATGAGACTACACCCCTTAATAGTCTGAGGAAGATATAGAAATGGATTAGTATTCTGCAGAGAATCATCAGTCTGATGAATAATTTTCTCCCCACTCCCCCACGCTGCATTTGGTAGTTGTGCAAAATGCAGACTTTTAATTCTTGCTTGGGAAGAGCTTAATTTGTGCCAGGTTCTATAATAATCTATTTTCAGCAGATTCCCGAAATATCTAGAGTGGCTGTCTCTACATATTTAAGGTCCTCTGAACATGTGCAGAGTGGGTTGTATTTGCCAAAGACATACGCACAATTAACTTGAGTCCATTGATTTCAGATCTAGTCTAATACCACCCAGTGTCTTTCTCACTATTAAGTAAACAAAACCCATCCTTGTTTGCTTAGGATTAGGGGGGCAGCACTGGCTTCCAGGTGTGTTTGAGACTGAGCTCTCTCTGGAAACGATACACTTCATTGGGGGGTACAGCAGTTTCTACTGATGCAGAAAATAGCCTGTATTTACTGCATCACTGGCTTGAAAATAGCCTCTTGCCTGGCTGACTCTAGCAAATATGAATTTCCTGCCATGCCTCCTCTTGGGGTCAAAACATACATATGTGTGTTTATCAAGCATGGCTATAAAGCAGGGGTGGGGGAGTTAGCGTTTTGCACTAAAAGGAATACACGGTGATGGGGAACTAATTGCTCATTGCTGTATTACATGCTGCAAATCAATAGATAAGCTTTGCAAATAATGGTAAAAGTGTGCAGAGTTAAAATTATAAACATTAAGCTATTAAAGTCAGGGGCGTTAGCTCCACTAAATGCCTTGTCAGTGCCAAATGTTACAGCATAATTGTTCCAACACTTTGGACCTTGGAAGGTGGTTTTGTAAAGCAATCATATCGTATTGTTATGGCTTATAAGAAAGTAAGAGCATAAGAAGAGCCGTGCTGGATCAGGCTAAAGGCCCATGTAGTCCAGCCTCTTGTTTTCAGAGTGGTCAGCAACAAGCAGGAACTGAATGCCAGGGTTCTCTCTCCACACTGTCCCAAATCGGGAAGGTAGAAGACCATCATGCTTAGTAGCTGTTATGTACTGAAGTTCTCACCCTGGGCCAGCAGGGGGATACTGTAGATAGTTTTTACTCAGGTCCACATATGCAAATAAGGAATCGAAAGTGACGTTCAGTGATTGGATAGTTACAGGAAGTTGTTACAGTTACGTTGTACTGGAGCTCTATATAAGCAGGCTGACTGAACCCTTCAGTTCAGTTCTGTTCTGGCCTGTGAATAAACAAGAGCTGTTTGAAGAATTGCTGTGTCATCTGATATGTTTGTCCAAGTTGTGGGTGAACATATCAGACGAGGATGGGATCGATGGACAACAGAGCACAGCCAGATGCGGCCACCCTCTGAACTGAGCTGAATCACTGAGCTGAAACACCGAGCGAAATCACTGAACAGAACCAATTCAAAGCTGACTGTTCTGGCTAGAGCACTGTGTTCCATCCATCACCTCCCACTGATAACCCCTTTCACTCAGCTTCATTAACGTGTGTCCCCAAAATTCCGGATCCC